TAATAATAATAATAATAATAATAATAATAATAATAATAATAATAATATAAAGCATATGCATAGCTTTTGTCATTACATATAATGCACATACTTAAAAAAAATCACAAAAATCTCAAACCTTCCCAAAACTAGGAGAAATCCCTAAACTAGGACAACCTGATCAATATGTTACATGAGTATTGTTGCATGTGGTCCTTTCTTGCTAAAGAATTTTCTTAATGTAATGGTCCCAAATCAGAAAGTGATGCTACAAAGCATGTTACCGTTCCTAGGTTCTGAAAAGCAAAGCAGAAACACTTCTCTCAGCTAATTAGGGTTTTTGTGTTCTTTAAGTCTTGGTGCCCCCTACATTTCCATAGCAATAAACTACATCCAAGTTATTTTTCTAGACTTATACACAATCGCTTTTTTAAACTTTACTTGGATGATTAAAATTAAAAGTTCTTTAAGATACAGTGCTTACTTTCTGTTGTTGATGTTGTTATAATTATTTGATAGAGATGGAGAGATCTTTGGTAAAGTTGGAAAATTGGATGCACCTGGGGACCTTTAAAAATATGAAAATGTTAAATTAGATAAAAATGTTGAGATTGTAAAATTAATAATGAAAAAGGAAAAACTAACATGAAGCAATGTATGTGAATAATTAAAAAAGATTCTTATGATCAAAATAACAAATACACAAGTACTCTAACTTGACTATTTTCAAAAAGCATTAAAAATTATCACATTTAAAACCTCAACCAAATTATAGGCATAAATGGTCAGCCAAATCCCAAATTAGGCTTTAGCAAAAAAAAAAAATGACCTTTACCAAAAATTAGTTTGGAAGCTATTTTATAATGAAATGGAAGTCATTAATATGACCTTTACCAAAATGAAATGGATGTCATTGATATGACCTTTACCAAAAATTAGTTTGGAAAAAGCTATTTTATAATGAAATGGAAGTCATTAATAAAGGTGCATCAATATTGTCAAAAAACTATGGAAATAAGAGCAGGTTAAAGCACATGTTGAAATTGAGGTGTGGCATTTGATATGACAATGTGCGTGTCATCTCTGATATTTAAATTATTTTGATATTTTTTTTATTTTGATGAAATAAGTGCTGAAAACCATGACTGACAAAAGTAGATGGTACCAAATGGGATCAGAACTCCCATATTTTGCTTTATTAGAACAAGGGTACACTTGTGACAAGAACATCAGAATTCTCCAAAACTCTTCAAGTTGAATTCATCAGCATCATTTGCTCTGTTCAGTGGGTGTGGCTTGGTGGGCACATTTTGTGCACATGCAGAGGCTTTCCGAGTCACCTCCTGCACTCTCCCCTGTTGCTTCAGCAGCTGATACGCGGCAATCTGCTGTGCCATGCAAAGCAGCTGAACTTCAAAAGCAGGGAATAAAGGTGAAATGGGAGCTCGGGTGGGTGGGTGGGCCCAGCATCAGCTCCTCAGAGAGAACTGGTTCGGTCTCCGCTGATCTTCGGCGCTACCGGTATGCCAGAACCGGGCCAAACTGGCAGAATAGCACCACTGGTCTAAGCAGAAATAACTTTTAAATTCTGCAGAATTTCCACATGTTTGCAGATACCTGTGGAGAATCTGACAGTACTTTGTCTGTAGAAGCGCTTCCTTCAACAATGGAAAGTTGATATAGTTGTCTGCTTCCAAAATTCTTTCAGAATGGCAACTTGGCCAAAACAGTTCATTGTTTTTTTAGCAATATCTATAATGGTGTCTAAAAGGCCTTGAACAATAAGATCTGTCTTATTCATATGGCTGAAAATATCTGCTAAGGTTAAAGAATGAACTGCTCTCTATCAAAACTTTGAAATAGGGCTTTTCTTCTGTCTCAAAAAAAGTTGCCTGATGTTCAATTAAGTGCTTCAAGACTTATCCAGTGGAAGTCAACAAACTTTTGTGTATTAGAGAAGAACTACTTATTCTGCTCCTCTGTCTTGACAAAGCTTCTTGAAAAGGTAATGATTTAAAGTCTTGGCTTTGAATTAATGACTGTTGTGGTTGGAAGATTCCTTAATCAGTCCATACTGATGTATAAAGCAATGAATCATGATGATGTGATGCTGCTTTCTTCATGAAGCAGCAAAAACAGTTTCCAAAAATCACAAATGCTCCATTTGTGCACCAATTACTAAGATTTTTCCTTTTCTGTTCATCAGTTTGGAATATCTATAGCATTCATAGTTCCTAAAACAGACCAACAAAACTGAAATTCTATGGTGGGATTAGCATCCACATAATAGGTGAAAACTGGGAGGTACCTGATGTGAAAAATGCATGTTTCTAGTTTTTATCCAATTGCATTTTGATGGGGAATGGTGTAGCTGCCAATTCCTCCATGACAAAATATTATACAAAATTTTAGTGATGACATCATTCAAAAGAATGCTGCTTCCATTTTCTTTCTCATTCTAAATCACAAACCACCTCAATTATTGGAAGGATGCTTAAAGACAGAGTTGTAGAAACTCAAATTCTGCTCAAATTTTAGCTTTTTGAAATTGAATGTTCTTGTCATAGAAAAAGAGCCACATTTATGTATTTTCAGAAAGGCTGTGACCTGATCTAAACAAAAACACATGTTCATAATCATGAGGGCAATATAAATTATCTTTAATCCATAACAATGAAAACTGTTCTAAATGTTATGGCATGACTGTGATATCTAATCACATACAGCAGCATTCTGTGCTACCCTACTTTTGTTTTCAGTGAAACAATATCTTAACACAGGTAGTCTGCAACTTACAACCATTTAACAATGGTCAAGAATGGCCGTGGAAAAGTGCCTTTTGAGTCATAAGGCACTCCTGGCCATTATATAACATTGCTTTACCAACCCTGCAATCACGTAATAATGATCATCTTGCCCTTATGACCAGTTGCCAAATGCCCTGTGATTACGTGACAGCCATTTGTAATCTTCTCTGTAATCTTCTCTCTTTTCCCAGGAAGTTAATGGTGAGGCTGGCAGAGAAGGCTGCAAACTGCTGTCACCTGCCAAGAGAAAGCACTGTATCCCGAGGGAAGCTGACCTCTTTAGGTGGGGTGTAGAAACGGAGCCCAAACCGTGAAGATTCTGACTCTGTTCCTGCATCCTGCCAAAAGAATTTCCTTCAGGAAACAGTGGAAAGCTGAACTCCTTCAACAGGAGAAAGAAACAAAACCGAAATATCGAAGATTTTGGCATTCTTCCTGCATACCCCTGAAGGAATTCCCTTCTATGCAGAGAGGGAGTTGAACTCCTTTGGCAGGCGGCTCTTTCAGCCAGCCCCCAGAGATGAGAAGGAGTCAAAATCCAAGCAGGGAGCAGAAAATCAGCATGGTAATATTAGGAGAATGGAGTATCTCAGGTGGGTCAGGGAGGTTCTGGGAACCCTGGTGTAGGCTTTGTGCAAGCATCTCTTTACTTAGGGGTTATAAATCCTGCCTGGAATTTTGCTTAGAGGACTTTCAGTTATTGAGTGGGAGCAGCACACTAAGGAAAGGAGCATGGCATCCCTAAGAGGGGTGCAAAGACTCTGGGAGATCTGGTGTAGTCTGCATGCAAAAGTATCTCTCTGCTCAGGGGCTGAAAATGCCTTGGATTTTGGCAGGAAGGACTTTTAGTCCTTTCTCTTGCACTCCTTATCTGGGATTCTGTACAGGTAACGGCACACAAAATCACTTAACAACCAACACTGAGAATGCTGATATTGTAGCTACTCATGTGAAATCTCACTTAATGACTGCTTCACTCAATGTCTGAAGTCATAGTCTCAACTGTGGTTGTAAGTCAAGAATTACCTGTAATATCATTTGATATAAAGATTTTTTTCAACAATGTTTAAATTAGAAGGAAACAAAAATTTTGTATGTGTGGTTGAGCCATGCTCTGTTTTAGAAATATTATTACATATAAAATATCTGTTTCATTTGTCACTGTATAAACTTTATCATATTTTTATCTGTAAACCATTCGGAATCACTTGGATAGTGACATGGGTGGTGTGTAAATTTGATTAATAATTAAAATACTAGTTGAAGATGCCTATAAATCAGATGAGCCTCACATAGAAATTTTGATAATGGTCTTAAATTGGTTAAAAGAAAAAACACAATTGCTGTTGTTCAACTCCCATTTTTTAGATGATCTTAATATACATCACTGTATATAACAGGCAGAAGGCCATATTTCATAAACAGTTTACTTTGTGCTCTAGAATTCCAATTCTACTTATTATCCTCTAGATCGAGTGTTGGCAACCTGCGGCTCTGGAGCCACATCAGTTCTTTGGGCCCTCTGCTGCGGCTCCCTGTCCCATCACTGACTGGCCCCGCCCCTCACCCTCCCCTCTCTTGTCTGGCCTAAGAAGATAAGGGCAATGGCAGGGGATGGAGAAGCGGCCGGGGCTGATTCTCCAGCACCTCACTCTTGCTGGAGCTTCTTCCGGCCTTTATTGGTGATGGGCATGCCTCAGTCGCTTGGGGAGATGCGCAACATGCTCTTCACCCTGAGACACTGGCCCGGTCTGGCTGCAACCTATGCCAATCTCGCTAACACGAGAGCTGGCGTGGTGGGAATGGGATCCGGGAGGATGGGACAACAGAAAGAGGGACGGGCCTGCAGCGCTCAGCCATGGCTTTAAGAGGATCAGGGCAGCGGGAAAAGGGAGCTGGTCCTGCTGAACCTTGCATACCCACCCCAGAAATCAGGCTCAGAGAAAGCCAGAACACCCTCATCAAAGATGTTCGCCAGTCAGCCAGTCTCCTCCCTCTATCTCTCTGTCTCTCTGTATGTGTGTCTCACTCGCGCGCACTTGCTCTCTGTCTCTGTGTCTCTTCTCTATCTCTCAGAAAGCCATGACTGGGCCAAGCCAGCAAGGTCTCCTTGGGGCTCTTCGCTACTCCTTTTATTTTTTATTTTTGGAAATCCAGGCTGTCTGAGGATAATGATAATTGAATGTAACAGAATTGCTCACTGTAGGTGATTGGTTTCCTTCCTCTTTTGAGCCCAACTTGAGTTTGGTATACAGTGGAAGCAACACCTGCATGTAAAAAGATGGATCTCCTGCAGATTACTATTTGGTAATAAAGAAACTAAGGTTACTGAGAATTGATGTCATCAAATAAATATATAGATTGAATAAGAAAACTGCCAAAATTCATCCTTGATGGAACCCTCTCTGCATGTTTATTGCCTCTGATAACCTTATTTGCAGGAAGTGTTTCAATGCAAACAGTCTGAAGGAAAAAAGCTACTGCTTGTATTGCAGTTTTGTCTACAACACAGGTGTCAAACTAGCCATGTCACATTGCTGTTACATGATGTAACTCTCTGGAGTTGACATCTCTAACATTTCTCCCTTTGATCAAGACAACTTCTAAAAAAGTCTGGTCATTGGCATTCATTCTTAAAAAATCTACTTTTTTTTGCTTAACATTAATATTCTTTCAGAAATTGCTATTATTGTATGAGCAAATACTCCCTGGGTATAGGTTTCTCATCTGGTGCTATTTATTAAGGTTCCAGTATCTAGTT